TAAGAATAAATATTATTTTGATATAATATTTAGGATTATTGGCGAGAAATTCAAATTGGTGATCAAGTTAAACTTCGTTGGTTTCGATCATGTTTGCGGTAATCAAGACTATTTAGTTATATATATTTAGAAAGGCGCCTAAAATATTTTCACTACAGAACAGGATCTATATAAAAGATTAGAGATAGATTTCCTCTATCTAATGATGTATGCATTACCAAGTTCAGAGATCTGTCAGGTGGACTGGGCGATCGTGGAAACGCAGAGAACCTGATAATACATATATTGTTAGATAGAGGAGCTCTGTTACTACAAGCCTATATATATATATCCCGTTCTATAGTCAAAAATCATCGAAAAGCTTAAAGCCATGTTTTGAAATACAATTTTAGATGTTTATTACCAACTGTAACTCAAGAAACAGGTATTCGTGATCCTAATCAAGAACCATGGAAAACACTTCAAACGTAATTTAAAATATCTTATTTTTCTGTATATTTTATCATTTTTCTGTTGGTATTTAAACAGATTCCGTCGTAAACCAGATTTGTATGGTATTAAAGCACAATTTGGAACATATCTAGCGACTATGGAAAATGGTATAATTCGTGTTGGTGATCGTGTTCGTGTTTTACGAGAAGATAAAAACTTTTAATTTCATTTTCAAGTTTCGTTAATCCAGCAATCAATTAATTTAAAAGTTTTTTTTATTAAATAAGAAGAAAATAGATAGATATGTAATTGAAGAGAGTTTTTCAAAAAAAAATTATCTTAATAAATGAAGTTTTCCTTTTTTTTTTAAATTCATCAAAGAGTTTTCAATCTTGAACTCAGAAAGTTGTCAGTTTCATTAAATTTCATATGCTTAATTCATATTTACATACATAAAAACATCAAGATATGTAGACTCTGGATGTTATCATAGTAAGTACCTAAGAAAGAGTAATTGAGAAGGAAAATTTCTAGATTTACTCGAAGATCAAAACTATCTTGAAACATAATTGACAATAGAGTTTATTTTAATCAAAATTATGACATATTTTTTAAAATACTTTTCAAGCTTGCTAAATTGTACAACATAGTCATAGTATGAAAGTCATTTAATTGCTATCCATTGGTTTGATGACATTATTCCAACAAACAATGTACGTATCGAAAAAAGAATATTTTCTTTTTTTTTTGCTTCCAATTCAAAACAATCAACATCACTATTGAGAGTAACATATTTTAAGATAGAATGATCTATTACCTTTTTTTTTTACTGTTTGATAAAACATCAGTTTTACTATCATTGTTTTTATTTTAAAGTTCATTTTTGATAAATCTTGTATTCAATATTTTTAACAAAACTATTTCGCCTGCAATTACTTAATATAATAATGCATATTACAAAACAAAAATATCTATATTAATACTTTCAGTATGCAAACTTTAGCAAATTCAAAGTGCATCACTCGATTTCCATTCGAAAATAATACTCGCATTAGAATTTAGCTACATAATTTAATGTTTGATTATAATCAGAAGAGTATCTTTTTTTTTTGATTTATAATACGAAGGAAATAAATCTAGTGAAGTAAGTCCTTCAACTGATAAATCATTTCCTAAATTGAGGATGTGTAAATCTAAATGAACACTGAATATTCTTAACAGAAAAATTGATTTTCGAAGGTTGTATGCCTCTTCGCCGAAAAGCATTTCATTGAAAGACCCGGAAATGCTGTAGACCGTTGCGAGCCCTTTAATTCCTGCATAGACTTGTTAAGCATGACAGGATCAATTCGTTTTACCGTCACCCTCACCTTTGCAGTGCCCTTCGTGGCCAAAAAATACTTTCGATGTTGCGTTTTTCGGCGAAGAGCATACATACCATCTATTACAACTACGAGAAATCAAAACACGAATATTTCAGATTTCTATCTTTAATACGAATAAATTCTTAAAATAGTTTGTTTGTTTTTTTCTAAACTTGAACAGATACTCAAAGAACCTTGTATACTACATTTCAAAATTATAATATATAAACACATAAAAAAAAAGATATCAAATTCAGATCCTTATTGATTTCAAATAGAAAACTTCTTATTTTATACTTTTGTTCAACGATAATAATTTCATGGAAATATTTTTATTTTATTTCAATATATATATGTATCTATTTTTTTTTTTTTAATAGTCAAACAAAAGATGCACATAAACATAGAGACAATATTAATTTTTTTTTTTCGAAGAGAGAAAAAACATCTATACCAAGATTTACGTTCATATACATATAAACACAAATAAAGAATAAATCAATCATTGATACAATGAACAAAACAAAAATGTATAGTTAATACAATAATTTGCTTTTTTCAATCTAGAAATATTTGTTTGTTTTTTTTTTTATTGTGTACTTGGTTTAGTTGGTGCTTGAGGTAAACTTCCTTGAACAGGTGTTTTCTTTCCAATGAGTGACTAAAATAAACAAAATTTTAACAAAATTAATAAGACATCAAATTCTACAAACCTTATGAATATGTGGAATAACACCACCACCAGCAATTGTTGCTTTAATTAATGTATCTAATTCTTCATCACCACGTATAGCCAATTGTAAATGACGTGGATTAATACGTTTTACTTTAAGATCTTTTGATGCATTACCTATAAATATTTTTTTTTTTTTTTGTTTTGTTTTTTTTCATAAACATAATAAAATATTTTACCAGCAAGTTCAAGTACTTCAGCAGTTAAATATTCAAGTATAGCAGCTGTATAAACAGCAGCTGTTGCACCAACACGTCCATGTGATGTTGTACGAGATTTTAAATGACGATGAATACGACCTAATCAATAAAAAAAAATTGACATAGTATTAAAAAAAGAACTAATAGAAAATACTTACCAACAGGAAATTGAAGACCAGCACGAGCACTTCGAGAAACAGCTTTAGCTTTTGATTTACCATGATCTTTACCTATATGTTATAAAACAACTAATATAAGAAAAATTATATAGAATCTTACTCACCAGCTTTACCACCAGGCATTTTATTATTTAAATATAAGTATTATTAAACTATCTGAAAATATATATGCAAAATCACAAAAGGACAATACAACAACTAAATTGCTCTATGAAATGAGGGCAACAGCCTATCGAACAAAGAATATGAATCATATATAGACACAATGATAGTGCAATTTTCTTTCTTTCTTTCTTTCTTTTATATTTCTAAGCAATGAAATGGTCAGAATTCGTCGAGTCACTTTTCTTTTTTTTCCTCTGGCTAAGCAATGTAAAAAAAGAAAATGAACGTTTGTACGCGGTCATTCTAGAATGTAAATGTTCGACGGAATATTCTTTATTGGTCAAAAAAAAAAAAATCAATGTCGTTCATTAAAAATAAATTTAAATTTAAACGAAATTTCATTCTTCAAATTGAGTGAGAGATTTTCAATAAATAATTCGAAATTCTTTATAGACTTTCATTCTACATACTTAATTGTTTGACAGAGCCTATGCGAAAAAAAAGGCGCTCTAATTATAAAAGTAAAATAAGTCTTCAACTATCCCCTTCCATGCATTTATTTTAAGACCAACAAAAATTAACTTCTTTTGAGGACGATTGTTCACTAATGAAAGATAAATATGTTGTTGATCAATAGTAATTGATGAAATATAAAGAGTTTCTACCTAATTATAAGTTTTGAATACTTCGGATAGTATTTTAAATGTTATATTATCCAATGAACATTATGTCTTTTAATAATATTTATATTAACAAAAAAACGTGATAATTAGGATAATGAATTCATAGGTCATTAAAACTTCTTAAGAAAATACTAGGTCGATTTTGTTATTGTAATGATCACGTTTCTTTTGTTTATATTACTATGATTAAAAGAGATATTGTCCGATGTATTCAAAACACAACATTGCAGAGATCATTCTTTGTTTACCCACGGAAAAATTCTTCCGAAAAAAACCGCAGTTTTTTCTTGAAAAATTTTTCCGTGAGTACATATAAATTAACTCTAAGAACTTATTGAACATTCTATATATATATACTTCTGACAAAACAAAAAAAACATCAGATAAAATGATTTTTTTTCTTTAACAGAACTGATGAAAATTTCCTTGAATAGACAATGATAATATTTAATTTGCGGAAAACTGATAATGAGGATATTATCTTTTCTATAAAAGAGAAATCGCTAAGACATTATTCACTTGAACAATAATCTTTATCAAGAAAAAAACAAATGCCGAAATCATCATTGCTAAATATGAAAATGTCAAGTTAATCATATAATTTATTTGTTAAACATACGAAATGAAAATATACAATTAAGAATTGTCTTCATCATCATCATCAGTACTTGTATGATTATCATCATTTTTTGATGTTGATGATTTACTTAGTTGTTCTTTTAATTGATTTTGTTGTTTTAATTTAGCAACAATTTCTTTTGCAGGCATAAATAAACCACTTGTTGCAGCATTACATATAGCACAACTAGGATTAATTCGATAATTACTTAATGCACATGATTCACAAAAATAATGACGACATTTAGTAACAACTGGTTCTTTAAATGTATTACGACAAATTGGACATCGTATTGGTAAACCATCTTCATCCTAAATAAAAATATTTAATTTTTTTTTTATTAAAAAAAAAATTTTACTTGTTCTTCTTCATCGGATTCACCTTCAGGATGATGATGATGATGAGATTGATCTTTCTTACCAGATGAAAAAGCATTCCATGCAGCTGAACGACTATTTTTATCATTAACAACATATTTTTGACTATTATCATCAACAGAACCATAAGATTGTTCATTCCATTCTTGTTCAAGTTGCCAACCATGTTTATAATCAGAACGATCATGAAGAAATTTACAACTATCACCAAAACCACAATAACCTAAAATAATAAAGAATAAAAATTGAATTTCTTTTTTTGATTTTTTACACACCTGTTTCTTTGTAATCTTTACAAATATCTGGTTGATAATCCCAACGTACAGATACACGAAGATGAGCAGGTGCACGAATTGGACCTACAAAAAAAAAAGAAGAATAAAATCAAATATAAAAAAAAAAAATTGATCTTACCTTTATTTCGAACAAGACCACTACTTGCATTTCCTTGTGCTGTATCTTTTTTTTCATAAAATTGTTGATAATTATTAATACCACGATAAATTTTATCATCAATTTTTCCTTTTAATTCTTCATTTATTTTTTTTGCACGTTCAAATATAGTTTGTTGATCATGTTGTAGATCAGTATCAATTTCAACTGTAGCTGTTGCACCCATATCTTTTGGACCTTGAGATTGAATTTGTCGATCAGATTTAAATTTAATATCAAGAAATTTTTCTTTTATATTTGTATTATCATCTTCAATATTTTGTTGATGACGTTTATTCGATGAATTATTATTACTTGTTGTTACTAAACCTTTTTTTATTGTTCGTGTTGTACGAAATGTTGAAGCAGATGGTTGACTTTCATTATCGGATGATGAAGAATTTGATGATGAATCTTGACGACCACGTTTTGATGATGATGTTGTTATATTATTACGACGAATAGGAGCTTTAAAAAAGACACACGAAGGTTTGGAATTATTATTGTCAGTACTCATTATCTGAAAGAAAA